CCACTGACAGGTTAGCTGATGGGCTCTTGGGGTGCAAGGGGTTAAGTGATTGGGTGGCCAGAGGACAATCCTCTGTCTGAGGTGCTGCCCTGTCCAATCCCATCGTGAGGCAGAGGCACCATGGGAACCGCTAGCTACCCATCCGCAGCTGGAGTCTGCCTAGCAGGCAGAGGCACAGGCCACCTGGCCCCAGTTTCCCACACTTTGCGGTATGTCAGTACAAATAACGCCAACTGTTTCTCAATGTGCGCCTGCCCGTACGAATGAGAATGCGCAGGGGCCGTGCAGAGAAGCGCTCTGAACCAGCGCTTCAGAAGATGCCGCACTAGGTTTGTGGGCCAAGGATGCGCAGGCTCCTGAGTTGCTCACATGTCCTGAGCAAAACATGCTGCATCCTGAGACAAAGAGCAGGAGGGAGCTCCTTCCCGTCCCACCTACGGAAGCCAGCCAGACCAGCTGAGGAATCTTACTTCGCAGCACCCCTGGCCACATCTGGGTGCAGCAGGCTAGTTTAGGGAGCGCCTGGGGCAACCAGGAGGGAACAGCCGAGGGACTGCTGCCACCCCTCCGTGCCACGCATCCTCTGCCGCCTGAGCAGACCGCCTCATTCCGCCAACAGACAGGGCTGGCCCTGTATGCGTCTCTCCTGATTATAAATCAGGGCAGCACCTCTTGTTCGCTCATGCTGTGAGCTTTTGTAAAATGTCTGGAATGCAGGAATGGGGTACCAGAGGATCAGGTACGGAGATGCACAAGAACCACCCCGGCCCTCCATTCTGCTCAAAGTTCCCATTTTTGTTTGAGCCTAATCCTAATTTCTCTTCCACTCAGCAGCATGCACCTATTCTCAGAAAAAACACAACCTCCCTCTTGTGCACATTCTAAAAATGATATGAAATTAAATTAATTGTCTTCATTCCCAGCAACTATTGGGACTTGCATTTGGTTTTCCATGAAGGCAATGCAGGCAGAAGATGCTTGCTACTCCTGCTGATCTGGCCTCCAAGGCACTGCTTTGGAATCGTGGTGTGCAACAGAGGAAAGAACATAAAGAGGAGTCCTGCTGGAGCAGAGCAGAGGCCATCTTCTCTTTTTGCGGTGACCAAACAGCTGCCTATGGGAGCCCCCAAGGAAGGCGTGAGTGCTGTAGATCGTCCCCCAACGCGGCAACATTGGTGGTCATGCATTTGCAATGATCTTTCCTGCCACAGCACAACCCTTAGCCCAATGCTGGTTTAGATTGCAATCTGTCCTGTATGCCTGACCCTCAGTCTTATTGGAGTCTATGGGAGTTACTTCTGCATAGATCTGCAAAGGATTACTTGGTAAATATATTATTGGATAAGACAACCCATTGCCCAATCTCCCACCCATCTGGTTTGTCACCTACCCCATGTGCCTCTTCAGGCCTTTTCAGCAGTGGTGCCACAACTCTGGAATGCTTTCCTGCTCGGATCTCTTCTGCCCAAACTGAAGACATTCTAGATTCATAGAATCGTAGAACAGTAGAGTTGGAAGGGGCCATGAAGGCCATCAGGTCCAACCCCCTGCTGTTGCAGGACACCAAATTACACCATCCCACTCAGATGGCTGTCCAGTTTCTTTTTGGATGGCTCTAGTGTGGGAGAGCCCTCCACCTCTCTAGGCAGCTGGTCCCACTGTTGTATTGCTCTGATGGTGAGGAAGCTTTTCCTGATGCCCAGCCTGAATCAGGGTTGTCACAAGTTGAATTGATTATTCCGTGTCCTACACTCCGGCATCAGCAAGAAGAGATCTTGACCTTCCTCTTTGTGACAGCCTTTGAGGTACTTACAGAGGGATATCATGTCTCCCCTCAGTCTTCTTTTCTCAATGATTCAATAGCTTAGTTTTTGTTTCCCCTAAGGCATAATGCTCATTTTCCTCAATTGGCCCCAGTTTTAATGTAGAAGAACTTTCTGTGTGGCTGTTAGATTTTTTCATTGTTGGCTTTATTTTGGGGTGCTTGTGGATACCTTTAGAAGTTGTTTGTTATTTTAATTTAATTTTAGCCTTCTGACTTATAAAGAGGGGAATATCCAGGTTGCAACCTGGCAAAAAATGTGAGTGCAACAAAACCCCTTTTCCTATATGCAACTTGGTTAAAGAAATCAGTTTGGAGGGAGTAATACTGCATGCTCTGCAGACTGCAGAGATGTATCAGTCTTGCAGTTAATTTGCTTCTGATGGATAGATGAGTGACAGACCCTTGAAATTCTGGCAGAGGGCAGAGGAACAAGAGATGAAATCAGGAAAGAAATATCTTTGTTTATGCGTGATATCAAAACATTGCTAAAATGACTGGAAATTGCTAACTGACCTACACCAGAAAAGCCATCTGCCTGGGCACACACCCCGTGTAAGACAGTTTATTTATCAATGCAATCTCGCTGATTACTTTTGTCAGTGAGTCTCTGCTGCTATATTTTGCTTAAGAGGCCGGACTACATCTTTATTTGGGCGATGAGGACCTTGGGCTCCACCTAGCGTCAGGAAGGAGCAATTGGCGCAAAGATCTGCTATGGAGCAGAAGAAGAAGAAATGCCGCTGTCCATTTCGCTTGTGGATTGCAGCTTCGGTATGCTGGGCTTTAGTATGTTGCCTTCTCACTGTAGTGAAAGAAATGTACTAGTTCCTTCACAACAAAGGCTTGAGTTTATTAATAAATTAGAACTAAATGAATCTGCATGTGGATAGAATTGATATTTTGGAGGAAAAACAAAGTAAATTTTTCTTGTTTTGAGAAGATGCACATGACAAAACAGTGAACCTCCTTGAAACCCAACTGCTCTGTGAGACCAAGAAGGTTCAGTGCAAGGCGTGCCCTCCAGGGTACGAACTTGCCTTCCACAGTTCATAGAATAATGGAATCATTAAATTATAGAATCAGAACGGTACAGTTCAAGGGGGCCAAGAGGCCAAGGGGCTCAATGTGGGACTCCAAGTTAAAGCGTCCCTCTCAGATGGCTGCCCAGTTGAATGTCCCCAGTGTGGGAGAGGCCACCACCTCCCCAGGGAGTTGGTTCCATTGCCGTACGGTTCTGTCAGTCCGGACCTTTTTCCTATGTCCACACAGAATGGGCCTTCCTCTGACCTGAGCCTTCATTCTTTAACATACCCAACCATCAGAAGAAGAGCTGGGCCTTGACTCTGCCCATCCAAAGCACACAACCAGCAAAAAGAATAAGACACCCAAGGCAGAGTCTCCCACCCAATGGGGAGTTCTACTGCATTCCTATTTAATTGTAGCCGTTATTTCTAAATGTGTATCTGAACATTTACACATTTTATGCAAATTAGCACCCTATTTTGTCTCCCTGGTTTTGGTGATACATATCCTCCTTTTTTTTTAAAGTAAATTTTATTATTATTTTCTACGAACTAAAAAATATCAGTCATCAGAGACATCAGACCTACTGGGTCAGCCCCATATATATTTTTTTTAATAGCAATCCATATACATATTAAAATCTATGCATAGTCCCGTTTCTCTAGCCAATAATAAAAAGATTTCCAAGTCTGATAGAAGTATGTATCCTCTTTCTCCTTCAGAGACAAAGTCAGCCTGTCCATTTCAGCACAGTCCAGAATCTTTTTTAAAATCAGTTCATCAGTGGGTGGCTCTTCACTCCTCCAGTGTTGGGCAAATACAATCCTCACTGCGATACATATCCTCTTTTGTTGGCGATTCACAAGAGGCCTGCCCCTGACAGAGGGCTCTTTCACATGTTTCATTTTCCAGTGTTTCCCTAAATTGGCATTCAGGCATGTGTCATTAGAGAAAAAAATATTATTTTTAAGCACTGACCTTCCTGCCTGTCAGGTTCTATTTATAATTGAAGGGTGTTTTAATGCTTAATGGTTATGTCTAAGGATTCTGGGGTTAACCTTGAAGGTGCCCTCAACATCTAAGTCTTTAAAAAACAAAGGTAGGGAAGGATGACTTGTTTTTCTGTTTGTGTGGTTGGAAAGAAAAGGTAAAGAAGGGAAATCCTCTGGTTTTTGTAGTGAGATCTTTCCCAACAAATGAACAATTTATAAATATATACCATGGCCAGTATTAAATGAGGTACCTGTGCCCCACCAATTCTTTTCTGTCCCACCAAATCCATTGGCTTGGCAATTCTCAGTTTATCAGCCATATTTTCTGGTTCTGCCAGTGTCTCATAGGAAGCGGCCATCACACACTTTTGCTTATAATAAGTTTTATATCATCCATTCATTTTTAATCTATTTGGGTAGATTTCAAAGCTAAAAGAATAAAAGTACAATATGAAAATCAACTGACCAACAATCAACAGAATAAACTATATAAAAACAGCCCCTTATAAAATCTTTTACATTGGCTAAGATAGTTTGCAGTGATATATTCAGTATGAGAGCGCATTACAAGTTTTGTTTTCCTTGGCAAACTGAAATCTGAGTATTTAGTTAACACTGGGCACAATATTCAATGCAGTTTCAGTGACCACAATCCTGATCACTGATCTGAAGGAAGTTAAAAATATAACCTGCATCTACCCCAAGTGCAAGAGTTCAGCAGAAACAACAATTGCCTATTCATTGTTGGATCTGTGGGAATGTTTTTCAGTAGTATCAAGTGGTGAAATTTGGAAAAATCACTTATGGGTTCAAATCCTACTTGTCTTTTCACTTTTGCTGTCTGAGGCACATACTGAAAGCTGCACCTTCAATCCAGAGGCATCCCACTATGTGACACACTGGTACCTTTGCACATCCACCCTGCAAGGTGGGACAGGCTGTAAGACGCCCTTTTCACTCGTATTCTTCAGAGGTACACAGCCCTTTATTTGGAATGTCTTTTATCCTGCCTGCAACAGGATATGAATGAAGGAGGATAGGTCTCTTTCCCTTGGCTTCCTTGAAACTTCTGTACAGCCTAGCTTTCCATGCTGTCCAGCACATGATAAGGCTAAATTCCAGGCAAGAATTGATTTGCAAGAAAATCAAGCAAGCTCCAGTTTCCAATTCATTATATTTATTAAAGAACAAAGCATAGAAGCAGTCTGTTACTTTTGAGCTAAAACAAAACATCAGATTGGCTCAGCTGAGGATTGCTAATGATACGTAATCAAAGAGTGACCCAAAGCTGACCCATGGGTTTTACTGCCTGTGGGGTTTGCTTCTGCATAAATGTTCACAGTGCCAGAACCAGTGGTGTAGTGGTACGTTTTGAAGTGCAGATGCTATCGTGACTGTCCCATAAACACACCCTAAAGAGAGTCCTGATATATAGGCAGCTTCATTGACCCAGATGCACAAGCAAGTTAGTCATTTTCACGTCCACTAGAAGCAGGTCTTTTATAAAGCAGATTGGTCTTCATTCCCCATTCAGAACCAAGCCACACCAAAATACTTTGCTTTGTAACAATATAGCATTCCTGGGAAATTAATTTCTCCCCTGAGGATGGCTGCTTAGCTCACTGGGAGGAGGCAATTTTGAGGGCAGGGGTGGCAGGTGATATTAGAGACCTTGCCACTGAAAAGGTAGAGGCGCTGGCGGCGCTGGCTCCACTACATCACTAGTTTGAATGCTAAGAAGGTGAGCCCGGATATGTAACATGGATTCCTTACACACCGGATGGAAATAGCCTGGCTCTGCAAAAGGTGATATAGCAGTGCATTGATTCTGTGGGACTGAAAAAGTAATAATCCATTGTCTAAACTGCTCAGAATTGAACACTGAATGGCAGTGTCATGAGTATTTCTTTAAGTATTCTGCATTAATTGTACAGCTTGCAGTGCAGAAGCATCTTCCGTTAGCCACACTCTACGCCAGCATCTTCACTGTGGCCACAGTTGTGTTGGCCCCAGTTTGATTTAGTACATGAAAGGATTGAATATTCATTTCCAGAGCATTGTACATCATCCAGCCAGATTTGTCCAGTGCCTGATATTAGACAGAAGGAAATGAACAATGATGTAATGAGTTATCACACAATAAAAGAACCAAAGAAAGCAACATACAACAAAGCCATAATTACTTGGTTCACAGGCAATGACAACCCAAAATATGGGTTGACTATGGCTGGTTGAAACCTTGGTTGTTTTTAGGTTGTTGAATTACGTCAACTCTGGGTAGTTAACCACAAATAACCCACAGAATCTGAGTTGGTATATTATTACATTAAATTATTATATATAAACTCTGGGTTACTTGAATTATGGGTTGCTGTTACATGTGAAGCCAGTACTGTGGGTTGTTTTGCCAGGTGACAGTGCCAATGATCCCTGCCTGTAACCCCTGCCCCCATCCCTGCTGTGGGAAAAAGAGAAGAAATAAAATAATCAATGAACTGAAGTAAGCAACCTGTACTTTGTGCACATGCCTGCTGCCAGAGGAAATAAGACTGGCAGAGCACCAGTGGGACTGCTGCTTTATCGCTCATCCCAGTGCTAAAGCAGGAATAGGATCAGCCGCCACCACTGCCTCTGTCCCCCAGCAGCCTCAGGCGTGCAGGTGTGTGAATGGTGGCACGTGTGTGTGCATGAAAGGAGGAGAGAGTCCATGTGTCCGCATCCATGTGCATATAGGTACAGCCCCTGGCCTCACAGCAGAGACCAATGTGGCCCTCACAGCCAAAATGTTTGTGCACCCCTGGGGCACATCTGAGGCACTCTCGATCTACACTGTCCTGCGGAGGCATTGCAAATATTCAGGCAGAGTGAAGTAAGTGCACATCCTGCCTCCAGAGATGTACACACGCCTCAGCTTGCCATTCCACAAAGAATTTACCCGGTGAATAAAAGATGGGGAGCAGAGGGGAGCACCAAACCCCAAACGGGAGAGCCCTGCCGAGATCCTCTTACCCCTGGCTTTCTGGGGGATTAAGAAGAGTCCTACTTGATCAGACCAAAAGTCTATCCGGCATCCTGTTCCTACAGTGGCTGGCCAGATGCCCATGGGAACCCCACCACCAGGTCGTAATGCAACGGCATCCTCCCCCACCCATGCTCCCCAGCAGCCGGTGTACACAGGCACACTGTCTCTGGTACCAAAAGCCTCCTCTAGCCATCAGGACTCCTAGCCATTCATCATGAATATGTCTATCCTCTTTTCAAAGCCAGCAAATTACTAGATCTTGTTGCAGCGAACTCCATATTAATTTATTATTTATTTCAAACTTGTGTAGACCATCCCATTATGGAAGTCTTGGGATGGTTTAACAATATAAAATGTAAAAAATAGATAATAAATAATTAAAACACGGCTTCCTAAAATTTAGCTAATAATTACTCCCCAATTAAAATAGTCAGGTCTTAAAACATGGGGAAAATAGAAAGGTTTTGGCTCGGTGCCGAAAAGAATAAAGTGACGGTGCCAGGCAAATCTCTCTGGGGAGCAAATTCCACAATTGGGGTGCCACCGCAGAGAAGGCCCTTCTAGTTTAACAACGTGCTGGCTGAAGAAGCACTTTGTTTTATTTGTCCTGCTTCATGAGTAGGCCCTGGGATTTGGTAACAGGAGAGAAGAAGGAAATGCCTCCAAATTCCTGAAGCCCTCTAATTTTTCCACTGGCTGTTACTGTACTACAAACCCCATGATCCTTGGTGGAAGAAAAGGATGCTGCCGACATCAATATGCTGGCAGGGTGCTCACATTTTGCAGGCAGCCATGGAAGAAAGAGAAATCCGGGAGGCCTTCCCTGTCTTCAAGGGAGCTGCCTCCCCTATCTGCTAGCCCGCTCTGCCCCAAGCACAAGCCTCCCTCCCTTGGGGATGACCAGGTTTACTGTCCCCAGTCCCCTGAGGAATCCTTCATCCCACCCAGCTCCTCAAGGCATCCCAAGCATTCGATGGAGTGCTTAGATGACCCAGTTCATTTTCAGACATGTGCAATGCCTGGTCTAGTTACCCATTTTGGAGGATAACGAAAGAAAAAAATCCCACCATCCTGCTATTTCAAATAAAGTCATTATCACAAGGAACTGAGTCTTTAATTTCATGATCTAATTAAAATAGCAAGGGCAGGAATTCATAGCTTACCTGCAGGTGCAGTGAAGGTATTTATTACACGCCTAAATCCCAACATTCGACATACCACCTTTCCATCGCTTTGGTCCCAGCCATCATCACATATGGTGCCCCATTCTCCATTGTTCAGAATCTCAACTCGGCCACGAGTAAATCCTCCATCAAGTCTTATAATGGAACTGTATCCAACTGTTCAACAAAAAAGGAAAGAAACCATTAATTTAAAACTCCCCCCTGGCAAGCTGACTATTTAAGAAGCACTTAAATTGTAATCCATAGTTGTCCTGAAGAGGAAACAATAATATGGGCTGCACCTTTTTATCATATCGCAAACATATTTTTGGCACTGACATTGGCAAAGAACTCATAGAAAGCCTCCAGCTTCTTTGGAACTCTGTACCGTATGCTGGTACTCCAAAGTTTGGGGTGGGGTAATTTTATACCATTGTAAAGGGGAAAAAAATTAATTACCTTCAGTACCCTTTTCACCTTTATATCCTTGTATCCCTTGGGATCCTGATTTAACAGAGGGGAAAAAAAGAACAACCATTTAATGAAAAACCTGAAAAACCTGGACAGTTTGACTGGCTTTTTCTGAATTATTTTTACTCTTTCTTGTAGGGATGAAAACGAAAAAAAAAATGATTTGGACCAGGTGTAAGTGTAATAAACCATCAACTCTCCATAAACTTATGCATTCCTTTCTTTTCATCTCTCCTGCTGCCTACCAGTATAAATTTCCTTTCATTTTCTGAACCAAACATCAAACACCATTCTAAATGTACTGGCTTTATTGCTCACCAAGGTTAGTTGAGCGCGTATCTCAAAAAACATTTTTGCAACACAATCCCATATGTGTCTGCTCAGAAGTTTGCCTCACTGAGTTCAGTTGGACTTTTTCCTGGGTAAATGTGTGTGCAGAATTACCAGCTTAGCCATGCTTGCAAAGCATGGTCTGGAGGTAACTGGTGAAGTGTAGTGACTAGGAGACTAATCTACGAAGCAGGAAAAAACAGTTCTCACTAGCAGCAGGCATATCTTCGTGGCCTTTGGCAAGCCGTGCATCTCAGTCACGGCCACCGCCCAGTGCTTGTGCCCAGCCGGCGCGCTGCATGGCCATCATCGCTTTCCTCTGTGTGCCTTCTGATGCTGGGAGAGCAGATTGCTCATGAGCAGTCCTGCTTCACTGGCAGGGAAGCGGATTCCGCTCCCTGCGGTGCTTGGTGCTCCTGCAAGCATCCCCTGGGATACTGCAGCAGAACCAAGGTGGGTGAGGAGGAGCGCCCCTGCCCGGGAGCCCGGGCATCTGTCAGGCACAGGGAAATTTCTCCTGCGTTGCATGGGTACAATTCCCAGGGGGGAGAGTAATGTGTCATGCGAACCCACCCAATAATGCAATACATAAATAAGCTTTATTCCAGTGAGCACTTTGTTTCATTAGAAACTCCAGCAAGTAGTTCACCTTTCATTCCCGTATCTCCCTTTGCCCCAGGAGAGCCAGGAGAGCCTGAAAGAATGGAGGGAAAAACAGAACATTTTCAAAGGGTGACAAATTCAAAGAATGTGACAGTTTCAAATTTTACTTCCTGGATATTCAAGATTCCAGTACATCTTTGAATGCACAACTTTCCAATCACACTCGTGCAAGCCTACAGGAGTGTGTGGGGAAGTCCTGTGGCTTACAAACACAATCTGGGAACTACATTTAAGGGTTTTTTTTAAGTTCTGGTTAGGGTGGAAGATGCTCCAGCATAACAGAACTGGAAATATTTGAGTAAGATGAGCGGTCAGGGTGGAAAAATATGGATGGAGGTGTAAGAGCAGTAAAGCCATAGAGACCAAGCACAAGAAAGGCTGCGTGAAGGCATGTTGTGAAAAGGATTGAGCACTGGGAAACTTCATAATGCTTTTCCTGTGGACACTTTCATACCAGAAATTAAATTCTGTTGCTTTTTGGAATGCAAGTTAAAGATCAGTATTGGCTAAAACATGGCTGCAACAACTCAGGCCTGGGGGTGGGCGAGGCAGGAGGCTGGATGCTGCTCTCTGAAGATGTGTGACTCTGGTCCCCTGTGGTTACTAAGACTGTATCTGAGTATGCCTTGCACTGGAGCCAGTACACATGCACTGGTGTGCGATCCTATCTATGCATGTATAAACACACAAAAGTCCAACATGGCCTGGCATCGCTCCAACCAGCCATGCTGCTTGGGGTTTGCCAGGAGTTTTAGGTTTCTGTATTTGTGTGTGTGTGTGTGTAAACATGCACAGAATAGAAGATATTAGCATAGCTTGCATTTGGGGTTTTTTTTTGCCCTGTTCTGTTTGTCTTAAGTCTTGCTCACAATTGCCCTACAGCCCCAGAAAGAGGGTCCGAAATGGAATCCACCCCTCTGGCTCAAAGGGTTCTGTAGCCACAGGCAATTCCTCAACAGTAGACATTCATGTCCCCCTTCTACCCGGAGATGCAGGAAGACTGGCAAACACTGAATCTGATTGGACTGCTTTTGTGGACTAATGTGTGGGTCAGGATGTAATTACTCTGGAACAGGCATTTTTCTGAATTTTTGCAATGAAATGCCCAGGATTTTTTAAAGTACCAAAATGTACTAAAAACTGTGCATCGTTTGATAAAATACAGTTGGAAATATGTTTATTTAGATAACATATGGCCCAAAATATGATGTAAATAATATTTTATGCATGTTTGGGGGTATTTTAAGCTACACATTCATGCAGAATCAAGATAGAATGCATTTCTGAATTAATCCATATGGGCTGGACATAGACTGGTCCATTCATCTCCACTCATATGTAGCAACTTTACGATCATCAGAGACTGCCTTGTAGGCTAATTGTCCGATCCCTTGCTTGACACAGGAAATTCAGAGTTGGAACATCTCTCCTTCAATTTATAGGAAGAAGAGGAATAATACAGGACAATTCATAGATTCATGCTGAAGAAACTCATGGGAACATAATTTCCATTGGTGAGGTGGCTTTATAAAAAGTTTTGAAACCATGCCAGATGATTGAGTCAAAGGAAATAATTGCCATAATCCTGGAGGGTTGCAGAATAGGATAACTTTAGTTTGTCATTCTAGAACTGGGGAGGCCTTCTGATAAGCCCCACATGTTTTGAACTCCAACTCCTATGATTCTGGTCAATGGCTAGATATTGTGGGGATTGTAGCCCCAAGCATTTGGAGGTTACTAATCTCCATTTAGAACATGGCCTCAGAGTTGCTGCTACAACTGCCTCTAAAATATCTAATTTAGAGAGTCTGAAAACCTTTGTGGTGCACTTTTCACTTATAATATTCCAACAAGTCTGTAGGGCAAGTCAATCATTGAGCAGTGGTTTCCATGTGGGGCAGCTTGTCTGAAAGCACTCTTTCACACATTGCCTCTTGGAACAGTGCCTGCCATGCTCTTTGAAAGCATCTGACTAAGGCACAATCCACCCATGTTTAGGTTGAACAGGTCCTAGGGCTCCCAGTATCCTCCAATCTGCCATGCTGGCTGGGACATGCTGGGAGTTCTGAGACCTTTCCCCTCTAAACATGCATAGGGTTGCACTGTAAACTAATTCAAACATTAAAAATAGATTCTGCCATGTCTTGAGTGTTTGCACAAAGGATTTTCATTGGCTGTTTTCTTGGATATGCAACAGAGAACACACTTAGTTTCTTTGGGATCTAGTACTTCACATCCTCTGAAAAGGGCATGTTTTTCTCACGCACTGAGCTTGTTTGCCTCATCACTGTCTTTACCTCGATCTCCTTTGCTACCCTTTTCTCCACGGTCACCTTTCTGCCCTGGAGGAAGAGAGAAGAAGAACACATCACAAACTCTGCAGAAAAGCAGTATTTCAGTAGACTAAGAAATATGGGCCATTTTTGTACCTGGGATGTTACTTGCTTCTCCTTTCTGCCCTTTTGCCCCTTCTGGACCACGACTTCCTGGTGGACCCGTGTTCCCATGATCACCTTGTAAGTGAAGCAAAAAATGGGCATAATGTTCAGAATGATACATTATGATGCGTTCAGAAAGAATCAAAAGAAGGCAGTGAAGGGTTTGTCATAGCTGGCAAATAAGGGGAGGCATTTTAACCCTGCAGGACAATACACAACTTTAGACTGCGGATGCCGTCAGCACATGGCAATTACTCTGCTCCCCTTCATCCCAAGGGCACCTGTTCCTGAATCTTGTCTCATGACAAAGGAAATACAGAATGAGAACCATCTTCAGCTGCTTCACACCTCTTGAATTGTTTTCACTTGCAATTAGGGCCCTGGAAAGGTAGGATGTTTTGGAGGAGTGTTCATTTGGAGGGTCAACATACTTAGGAGATGACTTGATGGCACACAACAATAGCAGATAAGGGCAAATTAAGGTTGCAAGTGCTGAAAGCAGCACAACAGTTGTTGGACGAATAAAGTCAGTGAGTTTCAAAATTCACTTGTTTTTGCAATTAAGTAGAAGCCCAGTTCATTGATCAGGTTGGAGGAAAACAAAAACATTTTGGTATAGTGAATGCAGGAGCATCTGTTAATCAGGCACACCTGATTAACATTTGCTCTTTCTTATTGCAAGCATGGAGGAGGTAGACTTGTCCTCACATCTAAAGAAAATGGTCAGTGGCAGAGAAGGCAAGAGCACAGCACTTTTTCTTGGGAAAACCACAAGCCAGAATGTAACTATTTCAAAGAGTATCTGTCTTTGGGGTGCATTCTTAGGAGTAAAATTTGTGGGAGGAAAGACCCACTGCAATTACCAGTGCAATCCTATGGAAACTATGTACAATGCTAAGTGTGCACAGGATTACACTCATAAGTCCATTTACCTTGTAGCAGTACAGCCTGTTACTCTTCAGAAGCATGTTACTTCTGGCTAAACATACACAGGATTGTATACATACATAGGGTTTTGTTTTTGTTTTGGCTGTAATCTGTTTATTGAATCCGCCCTCAAAAGAAACACACAGAATGGTAAAGAAGGTGTGTAAAATGCTAATGGAGGTAGGGTGGTCAAAATGTAATAGATACATAAATACATTTATTCCTCATAACATACCTTTAGCTCCTGGTGGTCCAGATGATCCTTTGGGACCCATTAAACCTGAAATAGAAAATACTTACTTTGTTAATGTTGTGATGCTTACCTTGCTGTGTAGCAGATAGCTAAAAAGATTATGAAGTGCTAAGAAAGCTGAAGAAGGGATAATTATGCAGAAAAATATTCTTATTACTGTATGATGGATTTCATATTTTAAAATTATTCATAAAGTTGTGGTTAGCCCATATAACAGAGAGGGTACAGAGGTAGAATGAGGGGCAGAGTCATAGAGAAAAACATTCAAAATAGATTAGGAGTGTCTAATGGTAAATAGTAGCAACTCAAGTAGGTAGGAGGTGAGTGAAGACAGCATGAGGAGACCGGAAGAAAAGGAAACACAGGGTCGCTTCAACACTGGTGCCTCCTCTCTCTCCATCTCTTCCCCCACAGCAGTTGCTCTGCCAAGACGAAGCACAGCACATGAGGCTTAGGGCTGATGCTTGGGGTGTCCACCTGCCTTGGATGCCTCTTTCCCCCCGTTACCCTCTTCTCCTCTGTCCCCACTTGGTCCTCTTGGGCCTATCTCGCCCATTTACCATGGATTCCTGAGGAAGACCTATTTTGCAAATTTATTTGTTTGTTAGATTTATACCCTGCCTTTTTCTTACAAAGAACTTATTCTCCTCCTGTGCTCTCCGTCTTATCCCCACAACAACAGCCCAGTGAGGTAGGTTGGGGACAGAGTCTGTGATGGGCCTAAAGTCACCCATGGCTGAGCAGGGACCAGAACCCAGGACACCTGAGACCCAGTCCCACTCTTAACCACAACACAACACTGACTCGCAATGATGATAAGCATTGATTATAAGCTTCCAAGCAGAGTTGTTTTAAATAAATCCCTATTTTAGCAATATTAATTTTGACTAGTAATACATAAAATCTGACTTGGAGCTCTCCAAAGTACAAATTCCCCTTCAACACTCAGGTCTATAGAATTTGCAGCTTAGTAAGTAAAATAGATCCCATTTGCCACAGCTGCAGGGAGCTTGTCAGTTCCCATGCCCCCCCCCCCCCCAGCCTCACAAGACCCAGCATAGGCAGCAAAAGCAGGCACTTTGAGCAACTTGCTACAGGGCTTACTTCACTGGTACATAATTACCTGCATTCTGCATTCTGGGGCACATTCTTGGCCTTGCTTCTGGCTTTTCTTGCTCTTCGCCTCTTTTTTATTCATTACCCTGCCTAGCAGATGGTTGTGTGTGTGCTTGTGTGTGGGAAATTATGATGAGTATGGACCATACTGCACAACTCACAGCTTGTGGGCCACATGGGACCCCCCTACACACACTTGTGCAGCCCCGTGCCCATCTGCCACCTCAACTAAATGTCCTGCTAATAAGGGTCTTGGTGCGTGCACAGCAATGCTGTCTGAGGGTAGTGGTGTGCATGTGTGTTGGTGTGTGTGCGTGTGACCACACAGAGGGTGTTTAACACTCTCCCACAGTAATGGGGAGTAACCCTGAAGCATTTTACCTCAAGGAATTCTCCCAACTTCCTCCATTTTGTTTTAAAGGAAGGGATGGGCTGACATCCATAATTTGATTGATTTTGAACGTCTAAGTCGCCTTTAAAGGTGGAACCCAGGGTGGAGTCTGGAAAGGGGTTTCCATCTCAGTCAGGAGATCAATTAATTCAGCTTCCTAATTCAGTCAGAGATTAATTGAAAGAGGGGTTAGCCTGTGAGCCTCTGACAGCCACCAAGTTGGTGCCCCAGCAGCAGCCGTCCTTACCTGAACTTCCCCTTTCCCCTTTCGGTCCTTGAATGCCTGCTGCACCTTTGGGTCCAGTAGGTCCCGGATCCCCTTTTGACCCCTTTTCACCAGCACGCCCTGGGTTTAAAAACACAAACGCAGAGAGACACTCGGTGGCATTCTGAAACTGTAGGACCCAGCACTGACCCCCTGGCACCCTTTCTGTCACAGTGGTAGCCCCGCTGACCTCTGCTGAAGCTACCCTCACTTCAGCCTTAGATACGGGTGGGAGGCCAAATTGCTTCCCACGAGGTCCTCTGCAGGCAGCGGGAGCTCATGCGTATGGTGCCTGGTGTCACCCATATTAGTCTTGCTCCAGGCCGAGATGGTGTAAGGTGACCTGGGATGTATAATTGACACATTCTTTGCCAATGTCACAGGAAATCTTATTGTCAGAAGCTTACATCACCAACAGATTCTTCTCATGGCACATGAATGCTGAAGCTTGGAAAATAAGTGATGATTGGTGACAATAGTTGACCGTCTGTTTTCTGACTCCAGTGCTTGCTGCACATCCACCTTTTAAACTGTCATGCGCTACTCTAGTCCTCTGCCATCTGCACATCGTGTTGTAATAACTGTAAAAACAATTTCTAAATTTGTATTATATATTTTGGAGCCAGCACTGTTTTAGCATGGTCATGCAACATCCTGAGCTTGTGGAAAAAAGATGTGTGTAGTTTTACCATTGTCAGCTTTTTTCCATATCATTCTGGTTGAGTAGTCCTTTGGAGAAGAACTGCCACATGGATGGTTATGAATGAGCTTTAAAGCTTTAAGCTTGACCACCATGCTTGAAAACTAGACACTTCATGTTACTTACATGCAGGACTTCTTTACATGAGCTCCTTCCTGGGAACTCATGATGCCTCATTCATGGCACTTTGTGGGCCCTTTTCACAAAGCCATTATTGACCTCTTTGATGTTTTCCGGCAATTTGCATGGTTTTTATTGGAGCAAAAGAAGTTCATGTGCCACTAGATAGTACTAGAAAGTGGTTGTGCATTTTGTGCAATTGCACTATAGCACAGAATTTGTTTCATCAAATTTATAAGAAGGCAGAACAACTAAACCCAGCCACAAATGATCCAACCTCAGTGGTCTTGCAAGCAATGGGCAAGAGCTCTAGTGAAGAGCTAAGCGTATGTTTTTACCTACCTGGAGGTCCTGGCATTCCTACGTAACCATTTTCAAGTCGTTCTGAAAGAGATATTCATGCCTATTAATACCTATTGGCAATGGTCAGACTTTTAAGAAACAGCTATCGGTGTCAAAAGAAGTCTGCAACCAAAACTAAAACTTTAGCTAGTGGTAAAGAGGTCTCCTTTTCTTTTTCCTTGAAGGAGATACATATATGGCAAAATTCCAGTGATACATCCACCTTGTGCTAAGCTTCAGTGAAGAATTTCAGCATTCTTGTCATTATTTCTACCACTGTTTTACTGCGCTTTATCCTTTTACGTTTTGTTGTACAGCGAAGGAGGGCTATCAGTCTTTGAACTAGCTAAGAGAGCAATCGTAGGATCTCCCTGCAGCAACCCAAAATACTTATCTGGTTTGCACATCAGAGCAAATTCATACATTGTTTTATCTATGAATGCGGGGAGGGCTATGCAGGAATGGGCAAGGGGGCTACCAACTGGCTTGCCACTTGTGTGCTGCCCCTGGTTTTTCAAAACTCTGCTTAACGTGACTTGCGGCATGCAAACCAAGGCAATGCGTGAACGACAAATTCAATAAGAGTGAGGATCTAACTGCCAGCCAGTACAATGGATAATTTAATGGACTCAGTATCTGCTGGTGATTCGTTATATTTTACATTGTGTGTGTGTTCATCTTGATTCCACGTCCCCCACCTGTTCCTTTGTTAAACATATTCTGTTCAATGTGTCCACATGAAGAGGTTAAAATTGGCTAGGAGAATTATTGAGATGTCTGCTCCAATATTATTTGCCTGCTGGTTCCCCTAAGCCCTCTTAAGAGATGGAAATACTGATATGCTGATGGAATTCAATGCTAATTCTGGGTCCTGCTGGGTGTGTGTGTGTGTGTGTCCACCCCATCTCATCTCAGGAGTCAGGACTAAGGATACCGGAGGATTTTACTCTGCATTTTTAAGTGAACTGACCTAATTCACACTTCCAGAAGTAGTATGCAGACAGGGACACACTTATACTCAAGATATTACATTGTCTCTGAACTTTGCAATGCAATGTTCTGCTTAAACATACATATCAAATGCATATTTTAAGAAGGAACACATGCAAAAAGCATACGTTCAGGAAAAATGTTTATAAAATGGGATACACCAGCACCAGCGACTATTGCTACAAGCTGTCAGGTAGTTTCTCACTTAGGGTAATCCTACGGATGAACGTCCCCCAAAATGTCTTGTCCTTGACAGCTCTGCTCAGCTCGTATAAACTCCAGGCTATGGAAGCCATCCGTCTCATAGTCGGTCTTCCTTTCCTTCTGCTTTCAACCTTCCCCAGCCTGATTGACTTCTTTGCTGAGTCTTGCTGCTTCATGATGTGCCTGAAGGATGACAGTTGCATCATTTTTGCTTCTAGGGAAACGCCTGGCTTGCTTTGATCTAGGACCCACTTGTTCATCTTTCTATCAGTGCCGGATATTTCCAAAGCTCTCTCCCAGCAGCATGTTGCGAAAGCACACACTTTCTTCCTGTTGGTTTTCTTCACTGTCAAGCTTTCACACAGATATGTAGTGCTCAGGAATGCAATGGTGTGGATGATCTTGGCCTTGATCTGCAATGAAACGTCCTTATGCTTGATCATCTTTTCTAGAACCTTCATTGCTGTTCTTCCAAGTCTCAATCTTCATCTATTTTCTTGGCTGTGGTTTCCCTCCAAATCGATGATTTAGCCAAGTTATACAATTTTTTTCTCTATTTCAGTTTCTTTATTGTTGATCGTAACATGCTGTAATTCTTCTGTAGTCGTGATTTTAGTTTTCTTGATGTTCCGCTACAGTCCACTTTATCACCTTTTCTTTTTGGTTCTTGCCTGTCTTCAGCACTCTGCTTTTCTGTCATTTATTTAGGCTTCCCCTCCCCCACTTTTGCTACATTTTTTTTTTTTTTTTTTTTTGCACTCTTCTCTAATAAGGTCTCAGGTTTCAGGCCACCGTTCTAGTTCATTTTTGACTGAATTCCGTAACGCAAATTTGCTTTTATGTGAACGTTAAATTCCTTAAGGGTGCTATTTAAGTTATACTTTTGCATTACACTTCTGTTGGCAATCTTCTTCAGCTTTACTCTGATTTGTTTTATTAAGAGCTTATGGTCACTACCACCATCTGCTCCTGGGTTTCATCACAGGGTTTTCAAGGTAAGAAATATTCAGAAGTGATTTACCTGTGCCGCCTTCTGTGCAGTGCTAACCAGAATTAGCCCAAGTGCCACTGCTGCTATCTGTGAAAGATCTTCTACCAGGGTCTCCTTCAACTGCCGTGGCTGTCCAGTAGCTACCTTCACAAGCTTCTCTGTTTCTGTCTCCATCGCCATCCAGGCTCTTCTGCTGATGTGACTGGTACTCCCAAAGAGGGTGGGTGCCTCCTAGTCTGGTGTCTCAACTTTGACCAGTCACACCTGGGTGACCCAGCTAGGAAACCCGTCTAGCGAGAGAGTCTGGTCTCCTGGAAGCATTGCTCTCGGCTTCTCTGTCACTCTCAAACCCCCTCACATTAAGGTAAGGATCGGGGAGGGGGCACAACGATTGTTCTCAAAATAGTAAGAAGAAAATAAATAATCATAATGAAGTGGATGATGCATAACATTACCAGCTGATCTAATCCATGGGGTTCTTTGCGGGTCTTAATTTTATTCTTGGCTCCAGGTTTGAGGACTACACAATCTCACAGGGCCCCTCTTCCATCAGAGTTCAGAGGATGGTCCTAGCAGGCTTCCCTAGCTGCAGAACACAGCAGTAGACAGCAGTCCAAGCAGTGCTCCCAGAACAGTCAGGCTGCTGGGTGCAGCTGCTGCCCTCCTGTTCCACAGAGCCCTTGGACTACTGCATGGCTTGGTGACTATGCCCACCTCAGTGTACTGGGCTGAAATTCGTCCTTGCTCTTTAGGGGCATCCACAGCAGGCATCAGCAGCTGCTTTCTGTACACCCAAGACCTTGGGGTGGCACATGCTAGTAGGTGTCTGACCTCTGTACCTGCCAGTGGATAACCCAGCCTTATGTGGCACATGTAGCTGGTACATCTCTGGCAAGAGAAATGGACAGATGCTTAATTCCTCCTTCCCTTCATCACCAGATTAATTTCAACATGCATTGGAAGTCTAGGAAAGCTCTTATGCAGAAGCATGAGATTCAGAGTGCACCATAGGATCATCTTATCCATTTGCTTCAAAGGGTGAGGAATTGTCCAGATTATGGTCAGTGGAACAATGCTGATTTTTCCTGGGCAAGTCTCTCTCCTGCAAAGTCTTGTAGGGAGAAAAGAACTGAAAGTGACATTTGCCATTTGAATGAGAGCTGTTGTCATTTTGTACACAGAGTTCAAGGGACTGAATAGGAACAGAATAACTGTGAGCAAAATACAAACACAAAGCAAGAAGGAAACAAGGACATACGGGTCATGTTGGCCACTTTCCATTGTAACTGTTGGTTGCTCAGCTTGATTATGTAGATTTTGTGGTCTACATTTTGGATCCATTTTTCTTCCACTCTTGGTGAGCGTGTTATGTTATCCATATCAATCCTCAGCTGGGAAAGGGAAATGACTGTGCAAACAGAAGAAAAGAAATATTGAAACAAGTAATACCTTGTACTGATCACCACCTGTTATCCAAATGCACTAGTTTTCTAAGCTCATTTTTTATTTTCTGCATAGCCCTGTGGCAACGTAATACTAAGTGAATAACATGCCTGTTTATCAAAACCTGTTCTGATAAGCCCATGTTAATATCATCATGCCTTTCCAGAGAGACATGTTTTAATGCAATAAATGTTATTGCCATCTGTGGCAACCAGTCTAGCTGTCTTTCCTCTTGCTGTTGCAGAGGTATTTTTGTTCCGAAAAATATTGCCCTGTTTTATACTGGGGGAACATGGTTCTTTCTCTCATCCTCATCCCATTCCAATCCCCACCAAATAGCACACCTATAACTACTGTGAAAACGCAACTGTGCAACCTCTGAAGCAGGAACCTAGTGGGCATGATTGCAGCTGGGTAGTTTTCCTCTCCAAGTGACTCAGCACCACACCCACATCCCTTACTCAAACAATGCCTTCCAGCTAGCCCCACTTCGTACTCTGGTCTACTGGCAGTGGTAAGGGACAGGAAAACGTTGGCAGTATGTTGGCCTTGTGGGCAGGGTCTGTACATTGATTACGCCATGCACACGGCTTTTGCCAGCCCCTCTCGTGCATCGGTGAAGCCACGGAGGCAATCACATCGCCAGCGTTGCCCATGCAGTGGGGTTCTCTCAAGCATTACCACCAGCAGATGGGAATAGGACATGGTGCAGGGACCTCCCTACCATGGTTGGGTGGCCGGGCATCCACTTTTGCACGGGACTGTCCTGCATTTGAAGGGCTGCCAGAGGACTCTCCTCCCTTCAGAAGAGGCCACCTCTGTGAAGGGCTGAATCTTGTACATGTCTGGTTTAAGGATAAAGGCCCAAGAGCTGGGCCCTGAACCTGCTCATCAACAGCACATGGGCGGCTGGCCGGCCACGGCAAACAAGTCACCTGCTCAGTTTTCCATACTGTGGCGAGAAGTACAATACTGCAGCTTGATCTGCAACAATTATTCCTACACAATCACATTAGCATATATAAATTGCGTGCCAGTTGGTGTCCAATGTTGCCCTTGGTTTGGTGATTCACAAGTGGCCGCCCTCTCTGCATGCCAGGCCACAGCTGTGAATCATGCAGTGCCAATAAAATCAAATTGTGTTCATTTATGTGAAACCAGTTCTTTCTTTTCTGGCTGAACGGACATTGATAGTACCGTTCTTGGGGCTTCAGAGCCACCTTTAACCTCAGCCTTCTGCAAGGGGCCACTTTGACAGCTATACTGTGTGTGCCCATCTGCTTCTCTCTCTCTTCCACGCCTGTTCTCTCCAGTTCTCCATTCCTCCGCTCTTCATCTCACTGCCCAGCCCAGCTCTCTTCTGTGCTCTCTTTCCTCACCCCTCTTCATCTGCCAGTTTTAAAACATGTAAACCCAAAGGAAAATGGTGGCACCCTTTTTATCCAAGTATTGGGTTTCCCTGTAGCCGCAACCCACAAGCTGAAGCGATTTGGCTAAAAGAGGCTTGTTCAATAGGTTGTCTGTTTCTGTCTCTCAGCATATTTCCCATGATCACAGCAGAATGATTTGGTGTTTCTGAGAGAAAGAGGCAGAGAGAGACAGAGACAGGGAAGGAGAGAAGCAGCAAGCATCCTCTAGGAGTGGAAGCCCTTTAAAAGGACCATCCAGGTCCTTGAGGTGACAGATGGTCAGATGTGAGAGCATCTTGAAAGCAGTTTAGGAGACACATTTATATGGGTGCTGGGAATTTCCCCCCGGTGAACATCCTTTGTTTCTATTCTTCATGGACAAATTGTAAATATGCTCAATTTGGGGGGATTTTTTGAGTTGTGACCTAGGTGGATTCCCTTCAGTTCCATGCATTAGTTTCTGGGACCTTAGGACAGCCTCTTCAACCTGGTGACCATCTGGATATGTCAGACTACAACTCCCATCATACCTATCCTGCATGCTCTTGTTGACTGGGTGATGGCACTTGTCGCCCAAGAAGTCTGCTTTAGGGTAATGTTGGCTCAAAATGTTTTTTTTAAACTTGCAAACAACATTTTTTCATGATTTGAAAATCGGCAACCCGTTAAGAATCTGTTCCTGAAAGCCAGAGTTACTTGCTGTTTCCCGGGGGTCACTTCTTTAACTCTTTAGCACAGATGCCATTCCACCCATCAAAACCTGTTCCTTGTGCTGTCAGTGGGATGGGACTGGCTCCACTCTCCCTTCTCTAGTATCCTCACTTAGCCAGATATGCAAGTAGTTATTTCTAAATGTCATTGGTGGATGATCTTTGTCTTTAGATTCCAAATAGTAAACATCACACAAGAGCAATTACCTTTATAGCTTAAAAATCCCAGGCCAGCCGTGAGCAGAAGCAGGTATGTTATAAGAGCAGCCCGCATACAACATCTACAAGTCCTTTTCTTGACATTTGGCTCTAAAGTTTTGGGGAGGGATAAACGACACACAGTCAGTGATTCCATCATTGGGGTTGCAAAGGATGACCAGTGTGTAATGTGATGCATTCTTACAGTACAACACCTTAAATCAGCGCTGTGGAAATATTTAGGACTGAAACAGGCAACTTCTGAGTAAGCTGGATAATAGTGAGCTGCATGGTTATAATGAACCGTAAGCTGGCTTTGAGATGCTGTTGCTTCAACATCTGTGCAATTTGCATTGCTTCCAGGCAAAACCCTGACCCTCCCTCTTGGCTGCTTGGGCCTACAAATATGCTGCACAGAATTTGTCCTATGAATGCTGACTTGGGAGAAGATTGTCCCACTACAGTTCATTGGGGTTTACTCCTGAAGAAGAGTACAGACAAGTGCTGCTTCTGTTCTGTTGTGACTGGAGTTATCCAAGATTGCGTCGTGCATTTCTTGAAAAGTAACCCAAGCAAGAATAATTTAGCTTCTTCGTGCATTCAGTGCAACTGTGCGTGACTCCATGTAGTACCACAGCCTGATCCAGCATACATTGGCAAAAGAAAAGAAAGGGACTTCCCATATGGGATTAAACAGAGTAAACTGGGATATGAGCGCATGCTGAAAAATTCAACAGAATGGCTCAACGCACCACCGAAAAGCCAGCTCATGTTGTTGACACCACCATATTAAAACAAAACAAAGCAAAACAATTACCATTGTGAGAATTCATTCCTCAGTCACCTTCTTCCTACAAATGCCACAATTGAAATAAAAAAGCTTGTTTTTGTGGGACAAAAGACTTCTCCTGCCATATTATCTTGCCATATTCTCCTAAAGTTCAAGATGTGTTAGCTCACAATTAAAATATAACAGGACATCTATCTGTAATAAGGATGTCAGATAAATTCCCACTGGATTCAAATGAGTCTGGATTTCTGTGAATTTGACTGACAGATTTCCCAGCAGACAAGCTTCTCCTGAATCTCGAGGATTCTGTGGACTTGTGTGTGAGGGTTACTTCCCAGAGTTGTAAGCAAATTTAGCTGAACAACAGTATGAAAAATCCAGGCATACAAAAACACATAGCATTTTCCCTCATCGGCCAAAGCACGAAAATACACATTTGAGGGGATTTATGCCAGTGAGTGCTTCTGCAAAGGTGCACTTTTCAATGTAAGTGCAAATTCATGAAATTGAAACAAATCTGATTCTGTCAATGTGCAGACAATTGAATGAAAATGGCCTGACCATTAATTTATGCATTTCATTCATATATTACATTTCTATAATGCCCAATAGCCAAAGACCTCCGTGTGGTTTACAAAGATTTAAAAACCCCCCCATCAGAATACATTATATGTAGTAGGAAAATCATTTACACACAAGTGTATACTTTGACAGCATATACACAGATATACACCCTTTAAAAATCCAGGTCCCAATTAAAGTAAGCCACCTCATCGTATGCTGCCAAATGCTCGAAAGATAACCTGGCACTGAAAAGATAGCAATGTCAGCACCAGGCAGGTCTTGGCTGGGGGATGGTTGCCTACCTGGGGGCCACCACTGAAAAGGCCTTCTTTCTTGTTGTTACTACCTGTGCCACACGCAAGGAGACACCTGTAGGAGAGCCTTAGATGATGAGCATAGTCTGTGAAACGCAGATGGGATGGGATTGAATGGAATTAACGAGATCCAGACACCAGTCGCCCATAGCTGTGTGCAAGAAACCCCACACATATTCTGTGAAATGAGATTATGTGTAAGTACATCTGACTAGTCTTGTGTGATGAAATATGCAGGAGCTGTGTGTGGGAAAACATGCTTCAGTTTATTTTGAGAGTTGCTTTAAGCAAGCACAGGCTGCTCTCCGCTGATGTGAAGCAAATGCATGCTTGGTGCTGGGTGCTAATAAAGGGAATAGTAGGAATCCCTGCTGCAGGGCACCCCATGCATATTAATTCAAAAGTAAGGCACAGTGTTCAGCAGCACTTAACTATCTAGCAAATGTACGTAGGATTGCAGTCTGACTCGTAAAACTTCAAGACATTCAGCTATGTTGGTCACTGCAGTCTTTTAAATAAGGCAATACCATGTTATGCAAGGAAACCCCAATTCAGCCTTTAAAGAAAAAAGTAAGTTAAGACATTTGCTTATCAAACATTTAGAGATATGTTTTCAGCTGTATAGATTATGAAATGCTGAAAGTACTTTACCATTTATTTCAAATGTTGTGATTCCAGTTGATGCAAACTTCATCTTTTCTGAGAGAGACAACATTCCAGAGTCGCTGCTGGGGATGTCCATGATCAAAGTTGCATTCTACCGTCCCATCAGGTTAGACTCAGGCAATGGAGAAGCAAAGGAGGCTTCCTAATTTTATCTGCTGGGTATGCTTACTAAGAGATGAACATTTTCTATTGGCTTGTGACTTTTTTTTTTTTACTAGACTTGCAAAAAAGAAAACAAACTCTTTCTTACGTGGTACCTTTTTAAGACTTCCTCTAAAACTTACAAGCTAATTATCCGTTTCTGAAGAGAGAAAGTAAAGGGAGGCGTCTGAAACCAAAGATGCCCATTCTGCACTGTGGATGTCACATGCTGGCATAAATAACACTTCTGGTAATAACGATTTTTCTGCTGAGCAGGTCAGAGGGGCTGGTTTCAGAACATGGAATAAGAAGGGACTTTGCAGATAGGCAAATGATGATCTTCACTCTGATTTTTCTCTCTTCATCAAATTGGACCTGAGAAGGACGTTCTTGGTGTCAGGGGCTCCGACATGCCCTGTGTTTTGTGGACAGGTCAGGAGGAGCAAGGGGGGGAATTTTTGGAGCCCACATAAGTGAGCCCACTGGCAGGGGCTGGGCCAGGGAAGAAAGTCAAGCCTGGTTGTGAAAAATCTGAGTTGAGGCTTCTCTTCGAAGTATTCTATTTTTCTTTTTTTTCGGGGGGGGGGGCAGAATTCATAAGCACCCATCCTCCCTTATACAGTTTCTGAAGCTTACAGATATGGCTAGAAACTTGGCAGAGCAGGCAAACTGACAGAAACAAAGACAGTTAAAACCTTTTTTTGGAAAAAAAATACTATGAAACCCTCTGAGGATCAGGAGAATGGAAATCAGAGTTCTCTGTTGGCGCTGCTGCTGCTAGGCCTGAGGAAGACCTCAACTGGTTGCCTTAGGGGTGGTCCTTTGGGACCCTACCTTTGCCCCACATCACTTGGATTCTTGCCCACTTCCCCACTTGAGAAGAAAAGGGAAGGGGGAGAAATCTTCTCCCCCACTGAGCAACCACAATGAAGGGAATTCACAGAGTTGTTGCATCTTGCAGGCAGATTTCACCCAATTTCTCCAGAGAGAGGAGACATTCTCCAATAATGTCCCACAGGCACACTTCCCTAGGGTTGTTGCACAGCCTCTTCCTTTTTTGCAAAAAGGGTTGCTTTGCTTATATGCTGCTACTGCAACTGGCGACGATCTCAGTGTCAAGAGGCCTCCGCCGTGCAATGCCCGCAATGACCCACATCTAGCAGGATTCCAGGGCATTGGGTGGGGAGGGCGTGCAGCCACCACTTATAAATAACGGTGAAGAAAATCTGGAGGAAATTCTGGAAACTGGTTTTTTTACTTCTAGGAGATGGGGTAAAGAAAAAAAAACCTCAGGACATTTTACAGAGAAAGTCCTCTAAGAAATGCACACTCAGCTCTGGTTGTCATTCTTCAGAATACGGCACTTTCCCCAGGATCTCCCAGTCTCAGGAATTTCTAACAGGGAGAGATGCAGGAATGAATATATGTCCCTGTGAAAAATCCATAGGTAGATCTGTCAAAAACCCCTTTAATAGGACTTTATACTCCCATAAAAGAAGTATTTCACAGTTTTCCACTTTTCCAAACACCTAGGGTATCAGGAAAGGGTGGGAAAGTGCAAGGAACCTGACAAAAGTCAGGGAAAGAAAGACTCTTAAAGGTTCACTATGAAGTGTGTGACTTTGTTCCTGGCCCCTTTCATGAGCAGAGATCACTCATAATTTTGAGAGCTGTCAAGAAAAAAGGAAGTGAAAGGGAAACTCTTTGTAAACTTTCTGCTCCTGGCAGATGCTTGATGCACTTTGGTGGGAGACACCCCCAAGACATTGCTCAGGGTAGGCTTGCCATTTTAGACCTGCACAAGTGTGCATGTATGCACTTGCACAACTCCAACTTCAAATAAAAATATCCAAAAACACGTATGCACATTCCTTGTGCTAAAATAAGAACAATAAAATGGTGATGAGCCAGTGACAGCCTCTCCATTGTTCTGCTTGAGCATTTCAAAGGGGACAAGCTGACAAAATGTTTTTGCAGTTTCTGGGAAAGATGGAGGGGAAGGGGAAAGGGCTTACAGATGTGGCAGGGGCACCAGCCCAGTGGTTGCTGCTTTGCCATGGTGCTTGGGCATCAGTGGGACAGCTGGCACTGCCGATGGCCCAGGCTAGCTTGGCAAATGTGGCAACGAATTTTTGTTGTTCTTGCCAAGTGCTTCATCTGCTGCTTCCTACAACTTATGATGGTGCTGGTCACCCAGGTTCAGAAAAGACGACAACCCACTGAGAGTCCCACAACAAACCATGGGTTGCAGAGATGGCTTGTTGCCTTTCAACAAACCACCATGCATGAAGTGGTCCAGGTTCACATGGAATGCCAGTCCACCGTGCCCCTTCGTCCATGGTGGGTCACTGTGTCATATTAACCCCATCACTGGCATGCTGTGTGCTGCTGGGCTCCGAAGGAGGCAACATGACCATGCCAGCTAGAGTCCCTTTTTGAGGCACTTTTCCCCCCACACTTCTGCTTTAGCATCAAAATGCTACATCAGCGATGGAACTTGTAGTTTGCTGGGAGACTAAGTCAGCAAGTTCAGAACATGGAACTAATTTCAGCGGCCTTTTCAATTCAGGAATAAAATATATGTCTAAAAATAAGGGACCATTGATAGTCTTACTTCTCCACACCTAGTCTTCAAAATCCACATTGATTCTATGGGGAGTTCAGTCATTTTTATGTGAATTGGTTTGTCATCTGAGAGTGATCTCTCTCTCTTTTTTTTAATAAAGATTTTTATTAAGATTTTAATCTAAAAACTAAAAAACATCAATCATCAAATACATCGGACGTACTGAGTCAGCCCCCTATAACATATCTTTTTAACATTCTGTAATCATATTCAAATTGATTTATAAAAATTTAAAAACATCTTTAAATCTAAGCCAAGTCCTGTTTCTCCAGCCAATCATAAAAAAGGCCCCAAGTTTGATAGAAGTCAGTATCTTCTTTCTCCTTCAATAATAGAGTCAATCTGTCCATTTCTGCACAGTCCAGAATCTTTTTAAAAATCAGTTCCTCTGTGGGTAGTTTCTCACTCTTCCAGTATTGAGCAAGCGCAATCCTCGCCACTGTGATTAAATGTAGCATCAAATACTTTTCTTGTTTGCTATATTTTCCGGTATAATGCCTAACAAGAAAGCTTCAGGTTTAAAAGCTAAGGGTTTTTGTAGCATTTCCTCGAGCCATTTATGTTTTTTTATCCAATACTTTTTCACATATTCACAGGTCCACCACATATGGTAAAAAGTACCCACATCATGTTTACATTTCCAACATCCATTTGACATATTTGGAAACTGAGAGTGATCTCTTTTTATAGCCTTTGACTGGGTTTGGACAACAGGCTAAAGCATTGTGGCTTATTACATTGTAGGGTGCATTCTTTGTGGCTACAAAACCACCATAAAGTCATGGCTTGTTCATGGATTTGCTAAACTCTCCGTGGTTTCATGTGTTGGCTGATCCCAGATGCTACTTTTCTTGTGCCTTGAGGCAATTTGCTAGTGAGCTATGTCCCAAGATCAACAACTTTGGTGGCTCCTTTTGTCTAAGAAAAACTTGCTTCCCAGGTTTTCAGTGGCCGCTGCTCGTGCTGCATTTTCCTTAGCACACCCTCCATCCCCAGTTCTGCCTAGCAACTGATTATGCTGCAGCAGCTCATGGCCACCATCACCCCATTCCCACCCAGTTCTCAGCAAAGTCTTTCTCATGCTTCTCCAGCTGTTTGCTATCCACACACTGGCCTTGAAAGAGCTTGTTGTCCTGTACATGCAGCTCTGTTTGGGACTCTGTCCAGACTCATTTCACAAAGCTTGGAGCACAACAGAGAAGGTGCATCCTGAGGACAGTCAGAAATGGGGGTTTCACCAATCTCTGGAGCAGCCAGGATCACTCTCCCCATCAGGATTTGATAAGAAAAGGGAGAATCATAGAATCATAGAATAGTAGAGTTGGAAGGGACCATGAAGTCCATTGAATCCAATTCCCTGCTGTTGCAGGACACCACATTACACCATCCCACTCAGATGGCTGTCCAGGGTTGTTTGTTTGGTTGTTTTTTTTTTAATGACTCCAGTGTGGGAGAGCCCACCACCTCTCTAGGCAGCTGGCTCCACTGTTATATTGCTCTGATGGTGAAGAAGATTTTCCTGATGTCCAGCCTGAATCTGGGTTGCTGCAACTTGAACTGATTATTCCGTGTCCTACATTCTGGCATTAGCAAGAAGAGATCTTGACCTTCCTCTTTGTGACAGCCTTTGAGGTACTTATAGAGGGATATCATGTCCCCCCTCAGTCTTCTCTTCTCAAGGCTGAACATGCCCAGTTCCCTCAGTCTCTCCTCAGAGGGCAGTGTTTCCAAACCCTGGATCATTTATGTTGCCCTCCTCTGGACCCGTTCTAATTTACCTGCATCTTTCTTAAATCTTGGTGCCCAGAACTGGACACAATATTCCAGGTGAGGTCTGACTAGTGCGGAGTATACTACTTCTCTTGATTTGGAGGTAATACTTTTGTTAATGCATCCCAAAATAGCATTTGCCCTTTTAGCGGCCTTTTTATTTAAGCAACATTTTAAATGTTAATACTACTGAATTTTATCTGGCCAGGGCGGCTTATTTTATAGTGTGTGTATATTGTATTTTAAATTATTATTAGTATTCTAATATGTATATTTTAATGTATGTGGTTTTATTGTTGTAAGCCGCCCCGAGGCTTCAGCGAATGGGGCGGCATAAAAATGTTTTAAGAAATAAAAAAATAAAATAAAATTGCATTGTTGCCTCATGTTTAGCCTGTGGTCCACAATTACTCCACAATCTTTTTCTTGTTCAGTTCTGTTAAGGCATGTATTCCCCATCTTGTATTGATGCCTTTGGTTTCTTTTTCCTAAATGGAGGACTTGGCACTTGTCCTTACTGAATTTCATTCTGTTGGCTTCAGTCCAGTGTTCAAGTTTATCAAGTTCGCCCTGGATCTTCATTCTGTCTTCTAGGGTGTTTGCTATTACACCCAGTGTTGTATCATCTGCAAATCTGATTATCTTTCCTTGTACTGCGTCATCTACATCATTAATAAAGATGTTGAAGAGCACTGGGCCCAGGACTGAACCCTGTGGCACCCCACTAGTTACTGCCATCCAATTTGAGAAGGTGCCATTGATGAACACTCTTTGTGACCGATT